AAGGCTTCGCTCAATCCCTTTCTTGGAATCATGACACGTGCGGGTCAGATAGGTGGAGACCATCGGGTTGAATTCAGGTGTCACAGCGACCTTGTCAGGTAAAGTGGGCCTGGGGCACTCCTCCCTCAGTCTCTTCCGGACCGCCCAATCTAGGAGTCTGCAAATCCAATAGTGAACAAACTGTCCCAGATGTTCGGGCAGGGACCACTCAGGAGACCTTGGGTGCCGTGTGGTGCCCGGGTCGAATAGGGGTTCGCCAGTCGAATCTATAAACACGTCCTCCTCTAAGGAGGAGTGCAGGTGCTGCGAAGTGGTCTCACTGTATTCTCGCTGGTATGAAAATTCCTCTGGGTCTCCCTCGCCCCACCCGTCTTCTTCCTCCGAGGGGGATTGATCCGCCCGCCATTCATCCAGGACGGACATGGGTGGGGGAAGAACAAACTCCTCTTCCTCGTCGGGGAGGTGCCTTGGTCATACTGGAGATGAAGCGGTCGCCCGCTTAGGTCGCTTCGCTGGAGCCTTACCCTTCCAGTTATCTGGCTCAGGGCCTTCACCCTTCCAGTAGCGCTTAGGTGCGCGTGACCGGTCTCTGTCCGGTGATTCGTGCTATCGGAGTGTGTTGCAACTCCACCATGTCCCTATCTTGGTACGTTAGGGGTAGTGTCTGTGAGAGTGCCTTCTCTATGGAAGCCCTCTTGGGTAGGGGCGTCCATACTCTGCTCGTAGTGTTATTCTGTGGGGTAGAAATGACAGGTGTCATCTCAGCTAGTATGAGATTAGAGATAATACGGACACAATTATAGTGTGTATTGTGTAGTCGGGGAGGTCCCCCCTATCAGAATTCCCCGTAAATATACCCAGGCCTGCGGCCGGAGGGGATATAGGCACGGGCAAGCGCCGGTTATTAACAGGACACTGTCAGGGCAGGCCAGTCAGGGGGCACAGGCAGAGCAGGCTGGTATAGTGAGCACAGACAGAGCAGGCCAGTCATAGGGCACAGACAAAGCAGGCCAGTCAATGGGGCACAGACAAAGCAGGCCAGTCAATGTAGTTCTAATACCCAGCTGTATGCCTCTGACACAGAAATATGCAGTCTGTAGTTGATGCCCTCAGGGGAGCAAGTGTATATTGCTAGGCCCCATAGGGGCAGAGGCTCCACTAATATTTAATGTATGCATATAAACTTCCTGCATAGAGGGAAAAGGGGGCACCCCCTACTGTCCACCAATGAGTAATTCAATACAATGACTTATGATTAGCCAAACAGAAGGCCAGCGAAAATCCGGCCTGGTGTAGGGGAAGGGGACAGCTCCCAGATCGCCAGTACATAAGGGCCTCAGGCCGCGGTCTAACTCAATGCCAGGCTCCCCGGTGGGGAGGGAAAGCCTCTAACGGCCAACGGCTGCAATGCAACAGGTGGGGGAGGGGGCAAGCGATAGTGCTCCCTCCACCACCCGGCGGACCCACGCGGTCCGTGGATCGAGCCTGTCATGGCCGGCAGCCACGTGTTGAGGCTCCGGTCGGCAGGCGTGACCGGAAGCGCAGCACCCCACGACCGGAGCTAAAGACATACACACGGGACCGCTGGAGACGTACTCCACAGTCCCGGAGCTCGGGGGAATCGGAGGAGGCAGAGCAGGCCGACCTCCTGAAACCCCCGAGCGGCAAAGGCACCCGCCTAGCAGTAGAAAAGCGGGACGGCACTAAAGAAATAAAAGAATAAAAATAATCAGCAGAAAAATAAACGGAAAAACAATATAAGGATAAATAAGGATAATAATAAGGAAATAATAAAAAAGGGGACAGATAAGGGGGAGAGTCCCGGCAAAGGCAAGAACCAGGGACACAAAACCTTCCCCACAACCCAGAGCAATGGAAGCAGAGGGCATAAACTAGGCATAAATCCACAGTCCCCAAATAGGAAAATATACAAACACAAAGATATAAATAAATGACACAGCCACCAACTAATTATAGCAGGAGGCAGTGGTACTCTGACCTGTACTGATGCGGAGCAGCAAAGAAAGAGGAAATGGAATGTTGAGAAAGGGAGTTATATAGTCTCCTTGCTGTTTTTTGATTGGTTGTTACTCTGTGTTTTTTTGCTGCTGTGGAGTTCTAGTAAAGAGAGACTTAAGCAAATATGAAGCCTCCTGTTATAAAATTTGGTTAAACCAACTTTACAAAATTAGGCCGGAACTAAATTTACGGTCAGATAGAGGTCAATTCTAATGCAAGAGATCATTGAAGGGAAAAAAAGGCTGTCCGTAGAAGCAGTTTGAGAGCCCAATACTAAGAAAACTGGGGTTAACATAGGTCCTAGCAGAGAGCACTTCAGGGGCACTCCCTACATCAGCGATAGGTACTCGAGATGTTGTGGACTACATCCCCCATAATGCTCTTACACCCATAATGCTGACATTATGGGAGGTGTAGTCCAAAACATCTGGAGTGCCGATGGTTGCCTATGCCTGCCCTATATGATCTGTTGGTGGGCAAACAGAGGCACTCAGTTAGCAACGTATATGTTGACTCCAAACTGACACTCCCCTTCTGTGGATGGCCGAACCCTTTCCAGTTGGGCCTACTCATTTTGGGAGAGCTAGTGACACAAACTGCATCACTATCACACTCATAAAGGGGACTGACACTGTCCCAATGGCATACTTCTAAATGTTGAGATGTATGAGTTATCACCACAAAAGTGTCTAATATGCCCAAATTAGTCAGACATATTTATTTAAATTAACACATTTCTATTACATAAATTTATTTAAATAACAATGCATTATTTTTATTGTTACCACTATGTATTTTTATTATATTTGTATTATTATATGTTTTAATTATTTTTATCATTTCGTAGGTTCAGTATGTTTGCAAAAAGCTTGCTACAATTTTTTTTTTTAATAAAGCCAGTAAAAATTTGTGTTGAATAAATATGCAAATCCCATCTTCCAAAATATAAGTGCTGATTCAGTAGGCATCACCAAATTCTGTCTGATTTTGTCTTTTTTGAAAATGCAATTTGCAGATTTGGCAAGAATATCTGGTCATTTTCATTAAATGTTTCAAATCTGGTGTACATCCAGACTTAAGTGAATAAACATTTGCTTTATGTTTGCTTTCCTGGATACATCTCACTTCCTCATACCAATGGGTAGTACATTTCAAGTGCTGCACTGCCGTATGTAGCATTCATGTGCTGTAGAGTTCCCCTTTGATATATGAATTGATTTCATATTTACAACAGTTAAATTCTATATACAGCAGGACAGTCCTTTTCATGTGTTTCCAGTCAGTATGCATAAGAGATATATGTCCAGGAAAACAAGCTGGATCTGTTGACCACCTTGTAGCATGTGACATTTAGATGCAGCTGGAAAGGAATCAATTAATCAAGGAGAAATCCCAAAGGAGCTTCCTTGATTAGTTAACAGATTCCTCTCCTGAATGCATCATGCCACAATAGAGCATTATATTAATGCAACATGCAAGACAGCAATGATATGTACTGGGTGATCAGATCCACCATGTGTTAAGGGATGCATAATTTTGTCATGTTTATGATAATGTATGAAAAGTGTTGCCCTGCATTATGTATAATGCATATTCTGCAGGATTTTTCATTGCCTAATTATTGCATAATCTTATACACCTTCTTCTGAATTCTATATACTACAGGGCAACCATTTTCATGTGCTGCAAATCAATATGTACACTTGATATGTGTCCCTGAAAACATGGTGGATATGGTAACCCTGGATATATGTCCACTAAAAAGGGGTATGAATCTTACAAACCTACCCACATGTTGCTAGGTGATAACTGGTTGTCACAAAACCTTAAATTCAGAACTGCAAGATTGTAATAATGAAAACCTTTTTTAACAATGGGTTAAGATAATCTTGGCGTATAATAACTGCCTGATTTATAATCTTTCACGAATGCTTATTACAATTCTACAGCATGATTATAAGTAGTGTACATTATTTTATTATGACACAAAATTTGCATTCTAATTTGTTCATATATATATGTATAATTATATAGCCAAAATACCAGAGTATTGCCGTATGCAATGATACCTTTTTTATTGGACTAACATAATATTTAAAAGACAAGCTTTCAAGAGTTTTCCTCTCTTCCTCAGGTCTGAAGCAATAGTACCAATCTACACCAGGGGTTCCCAACCCAGTCCTCAAGTACCCCCTACCAGTCCAGGATTTAGGGACTAGCCTGTGTCTAAAGTTTTTTTTTTTTTTTTTTTTTTTCAAAAACACCTTAGACACAATTGAGTAATCCTTAAATCCTGGACTTTTAGGGGATACTTGAGGACTGGATTGGGAACCACTGATCTACACTATATTTATACTATATACTATTTAATACTATGTCATTATAAACAGTATGCCTATATTGAATTTTGAAAATATTCCTCAATTGGAATGTTATAAAATGTTAATATATTTTCACATCTCCATATGATGACATTGTTTTTATTTTGTTAATATTTAAGTAGGAAGGAAGTGTTAAGTATATTCTTCCCTTCATCAGTGAAAAATGAAAGCCACTTGTGTAGATGCCAGATTTCAACAAATACGTCAAATTAACACTTTGGTGCTTTAGCTGTAAATCATAATCTTGCACTTAATTATCCCTCAATAGTATCACAAATATAGCTTGGTGTATAGAGTGAACAAACCAGAGTATTATTCTTTACATTACCATGATTTATATAATTCTGCTTAGTACCAGAAGTGGGCTAGCCCCATGCTTCATGTTCATCTGACAATTAAATTGTATTAAGCAATACTCAGATCAAATGTTTCACCTAATTTTAATTGCCTCTTTGGGAGGAGTCGGTGGTCATAAAACTGAGGTACTTGTGTTTCCCTCATTTGCAGTGCGAATGACTTGGTGATTGCAGAGCAGTATTAGAGAAGACGGATTGTGCAGCAAGTTCTTATTTCAAAGGCTGTAAAAAGTTATCTTGAAAAATGTTGATTGGCTATATTGAACCTCCTACACTGCATGAGCCTATCTACAATGGCGTCTCTGAATTTGACTTTTCCCATGAGCAAAAGGATTATTTATCCTCCATGGCTGCAGACTTTTCTTTCTCGGTGTATCAAGAGACCACTAGTAATGTTGCACCAATCGAACATTTACCATCTAACATATCTGCTTCATTCAGCAATCTGGAAGCAGTCTATGTGGTCCAGCCTAATCAACAGCCCAATGACCAGACACAAACTACCCAATTAAAACCTGACTCTTCTTCTCTTGAAGCTGAGCTGCCTGCTAAAAAAGATACCTGCATTTACAAGCCTCACTTCTGTAAGGAACAGATTGTGAACTTAAAATATGAGGGGAAATCTTACAGCACAGAGGTAACAACTCACACCCCTTTTTGCATTGGTCCGGTACAGAGAGATGCTGACATCACAGAGCTCTTTTCATCAAAGCGATCAGACTCCTCCTCTTGTGATCTAGACCACAATTCACAACTGTATAAGCTAACCGGGCGAAACAGAGACACACAACTTGAAAATACATGTCCTCAAGAAGTGCATCAATCTGATGTGTTTGAGGACCCCATGAAATGGTTGCCATCTAAAGGAGAGAATGCTAAACCTGAAGAACTTTGTTTATCTCTAGAGTATGATGAGATCTCCCTGACTGATGTGTTACTGGGGAACGCTATAACAAACAGACCTAGGCTGCTACCTGCACGTGTAAAAATGGATGCATCCATAACTCCCATTGAGTGCAATACTCCACCAGTGGGCGAGCTCAACACTTCTGCCATGTTTAACAGATCAGTAGACGGTTCTATCCAGGATCCACAGACAAAAACTAAATATGACTCCTTTAACAAAGACTACTCCAGAGAGACTAACTTGTTGCGAAGTGTTAAAAACAGTAGTCCTAAAATATACCGTAATGTTTATCTTCATCCCAAAAAATATTTTCTCAAGCAGTATTTGTTTAGCCAATCTTTAGACAAGTGTTAACATTTTTTTAAATAGACTTGTCAATAATGGTAGGTCTGCATTTGTTCAGAGAGCATTTGCTTTATAGGAAAATGATGGGATTTTCCAAAATTATGCACTTCTACTCCCCAACTGGGGGGGGGGGGGGTCAGAATAGACTAGTGATAGGCCATGATCCTCACCTGGCTGTAGTTGTATGATAGGCTGTAGATTGTATGGATACTCCCCATTGTTTGTCATTACTGCAGTTTAAAAATAAACTTAGAATAATTTGATCCCTCACCTTAACTGGTTTCAAATATGAATAAATCAATTTCTTTGCTAGAAAAGAGTCCAACCAAGCTTCCGCCCTTCTTCTGTGGGTTTTTTTTTTTTTTTTTTTTTTTTTTTTTTTTTTTTTTTTTTTTTTTTTTTTTATTTATTTATTTATTTATTTATTTATTTTAAACTGGTCAATTTGTAGCCAAAAATCCTTGGTACAAAATTTTGTTTTTGTGCTAATTTTGGCAAATCTTAAAGGAGTAAATGTTTTTTGCTGTGTGGACACTTTTATATCTTCACTTGTTTCAAATCAATGTATTGCCAGTTATGGTGATGGCTGTGGATTTTCGTGTGAGGTAACAAAATGAAAAGGGTATCTACAATTTTAGACTTTTAGGTAGGCAAATATCTATTTATCATTGTGAGTACTTAATTTTTGTTTTAAAATATTTTTTTTTTCCCTTAAATATAGTTAAACTAACCTGCTATTATCTTTAACTACTTAAGATGTCATTTTATTTAAATATACTATGAACTTTACAATCTGAATATCCTAAAAAATAGACTTTTGCTATTTTAATTAAAAAAAAAAAAAAAAAGTCTGTATGGATGACCTTTTTTGTATACCAAGTTAACCATTTATATAAGATGTAAAAAAAAAAAAAAATATGCATTTTGTTAAGTCAATGTGTGACATAAACTGTACCTAGAATAAACCGTATTTTCCTTTATGTTGAAAGAATCTCTTGCTTGATTTCTCCCTTAAAGGGACTCTCCAGTGCCAGGAAAACAATCAGTTTTCCTGGCACTGCAGGTCCCCACTCCCTCCCACCACCCATCCCCGGTTGCTGAGGGGGTGAAAGCCCCTTCAGTCACTTACCTGAGACCCTCGGCGCTGGTCCACGGTGGCCGCCGCTCCTCCTCTTCATTGTCAGCCGGCGGGGGAGACCTAATGCGCATGGGCGGCAGTGCTGCCCATGCGCATTAGAGCTCTCCATAGGAAAGCATTAAATGCTTTTCAATGCTTTCTTATGGGGAATTGAGCGACGCTGGAGGACAGTGTGAGGACGTACAGCAACGCTCTAGCACAGAAAACCTGTGCTATAGACCAGGACGTGCCCTCTATTAGACAGCCACTAGGGGAGAACTTAACCATGCAAGGTAATTATTGCAGTTTATGAAAACTGCAATAATTACAGCTGCAGGGTTAAGGGTAGTGGGAATTGGCACCCAGACCACTCCAATGGGCAGAAGTTGTCTGGGTGCCTGAAGTGTCCCTTTAAATTACCAGACAAACACTTGCTGTACTCAAAGCACTACTTATGGAATAAGTTACAGAAATTGTGGTTAACATTGTGATTGGATATGTCACTTCCTGGTCTGAGATCTTACTGCAGTACCTTCAAAACCTGAACATTTGCAGTAAATGGTTCCCTATTAATGTTATGTAACCAACTTATACATATAAGCTGGTTAATCAAAATGCCTCTCGCTTTAAAAGTTAAATGATCTAATCTTGTCACCATAAAGAAAAAAAAAAAAAATAATAATTTTTTAATAACTGATTCAAATACCCCATATGCTTAGCTGCAGGTTGTATGTTGCTCCTAAATGTAAACTATAGTGCACTATTCAATGCCTTCCTATGGGGATTCCAGTGACGCTGGAGGTCCTTATGCATAGCTTGAGGACGTCCAGCGTACTTTAGGCAACTAAAAGTCCCTCTAGTTGCGGTTTGGTAGACAGCCACTAGAGAAGTTAACCCTAGCATAAAAACTGCAATAACTACATGCTCTGGGTTAAGGGTGATTGGAGTTTACACCAGACCACTTTTAATGTATAGTGTCTCTTATTTTATTTTTTTTGTGTAACCAGGGAGGGGTTAGATGGTGGTTTTAACACTATAAGGTCGAGAATACATGTTTGAGATCCTACGGTTCCTTTAAGACTACTACTTGTCTCTATTATGATATATGTATAAAACAGTTGGTGCATAATATCAGGAAGTTTACATGAGCTACAGCACTAAGGGGTTTATCAGCTAAATAGTATTTTGGTAAATTGATAACTACAGATCTGTTTGCAGCTCAGCTGTTTATTCGCTGTGACTTACTTATAGTGAATACGTATAGTTGTCAAGATTACAGGCACTAAAAAAAGAATTGTAAAAACATACTCTGTTCAGTCTAGGCATTGTAAAAACTGATGCACATAATGCAGTAAATGGGTCTACATGTTCCATTGGGAACCTATGGCCTTAGGGTCATGAACAAGCTGCCTTTATTGTGCACAGAACGTACAGATCTCAATGTGCATCGTACTACTCACACAGAGCATGCATTTTATGAGTAGAACAGATGGAGCCTAGAGTTGCAAGGTTTGACATTATTTTTTATATATATATATATATAGCCTGGGCAGCATGGCATATTTAACAAGATGGGAAGAATGTGATATGCAGGCTGTCTCCCACAGTGATAAGCAGTGTTATGAATGTAATGAGAACCTTCTCAACTCATCTTGTACTTATTAACAAGTCTAGGGACATCATCATAGTCTTGCAGCCTAATCAACCCCAGATAGTGTACTCTATGGGGAACACAAGGCCTGGTTATCATTTAGATTTTGGGCCACCAGTCCAAGTACAAACTCACACAGTAGAGAACTAGCACCGACCTTGCATAATTCCTGGCTGTTGCCTCACTCCTGCAGTTTTCTGTCAACGGCATCCCAAACTATCTCTGCTATTTTATTCCACAGAAGAATGGAAAGAAGCTGCAACCCACATAACCTGGATCCTAGTGGCCTGGGGTGGAATTGTCCCCATTTCCAGCCCTTCCATATGTATACATAAATGCACCTTTTGCTAACTAGACTTGTAACAATTCAATTGACCGAAAACAATTCATAATTATTGAAAGGGTTCATTTATCATGCTATAGTGACAAGAAAGCATTAATGTTTGCTGGTTTAATATTTCATAATTGTTTGGCTTTCTCAAAACTAAGTTAACAGAACATTCTGTCTAACAGCACTTTTTGTATCAAACAATTTTAACCATATGCCAAATATTGTAACTCCTTTTGATTTTGTGTGTACTCTTTCAAGGTTAAGAAGCCTGTTTTCACATTCTGTTGAAAACCTATAAAAACAGTATGCTTGCACATAATAAACGAAAGTTGTTATTCAGTGCACATGCATGTTTGTCTGAATTATGGCTTCCCGAGTTTGAGGGTATAACAATTGAATGTGAGTTTAAGGTGAGAAGCCCCAACACTTTTTTTTACTTTTTTTTATTTTTTTTTTTAATCCATTGCCATTAAATCTATTCTATATTCAACCATCTAAAATTTATTATATCGGGTAGTCAATTTAAGAAAACAAAAATGCCCATAAATGTGCATTGGAAACAGGGTCGAACTAACCCACCTAGAAGTTTCCCAGCTGGACGCTGTAGCCTGGGCTGCTCCAGAAGCTCAAAGATATGGGAGGAGCACCAGCAGATGAGCTAAGTGCTTCATAATTTTGGAGGTATGATCGAAGGTATAGAGCCGGGATTCCCAATCTGTGGTATGCCTACCCCAGCAATACAATCTAGTTCCCACGAGGGTAGTACCCCAACTTACAAGAATGCCAAATCCCACAAACAGAGGTTCTAGATAGATCTGTTAAAAGGTCAGGGATAGCCAAGGTCAGGATACCAGAAATACACAAAGTCAAATACAAGGCAAGGTCAATATCAGGAAATAAGACAGACTTACTATGAGCACTAATGTGCATCAGGTCAGCAACCATGACAGGGCAATGAACAAGGATCCACGTAAACCTTACATAAGCTAACATACTTTCTGATTGGTCCACGCAGGGCCGGCCTTGGGCCTTTAGGCGCCCTGTGCGAAAAATCTTCACAGCGACCCCCCCTGTCATCCATGTATAATGTAATGTTTGTGTTGTCTGTGTATGTGATAATTGTGATGACTGTGATATGTATGCTATGTGTTGGCTGTGTGTGATACTTGTAATGGGTGTATTAACAGTGTGTGATATGCGTGTATTAGTTGTATGTGATATTTGTGCTGGGTTTTGCCTGTGTGTGATGGTTACTTAATTGAGATAAAATGTCTGATAAATAGTATATAACAGAAAAGGTAAGTAGCTTACTTCCAATTTCCAGAGCAAAGAACTTTCCCACGCTGTGTAAAATGACACAGAGCACTGTGATTGGATGGCTTGAAATCCATCCAATCACAGTGCTCTGTGTCATTTTACACAGCGTGGGGAAATTCAAAAGAACTTTCCCACGCTGTGTAAAATGACACAGAGCACTGTGATTGGATGGCGAAATCCAAGCATTCAAAAGAACTTTCCCACGCTGTGTAAAATGACACAGAGCACTGTGATTGGATGGATTTCAATCCATCCAATCACAGTGCTCTGTGTCATTTTACACAGCGTGGGAAAATTCAAAAGAACTTTCCCACGCTGTGTAAAATGACACAGAGCACTGTGATTGGATGGATTTCAAGCCATCCAATCACAGTGCTCTGTGTCATTTTACACAGCGTGGGAAAGTTCTTTTGAATTTTCCCACGCTGTGTAAAATGACAAAGAGCACTCTGATTGGCTTAAACCAGCCAATCAGAGTGTTCTTAGCCTAATTGCAGGGCGTGGCAAGGCTTTATAAGCCTTCCCCCGCCCTGCAGAGCTCAGTCTGCGCGGAGCCCTCCATGGGTGAAGATGGATTATTTTTTTGTGCGCTC